TCATGACCAACGCTCACGTCGGGGGGGGCCCGCTTTCTAGAGCGAAGACGCCACCGGCCTTTCAGCTCTGCTGCTTCGCATCACAGGTGATTCGGAGCAGGTCGACTTGAGGTGATTGGTTTAGGGATCCGTTTTTCTTTTCGAACCTCTGGTACGGTGAGGACGGAGACACTCTCATGTACCTTTTGAGGGTCCAAGATGGTCCAGTCGTACCTTCTGAGAAGGTACGACTGGATCTATAGGGACTGGATCATGACCGCAAAATGGATCAAAATCGTACTCGAGGTCAGGGACCAGGGACCTCACTTCAGATGGCGAGCAAACGTTTTAAGATGTTTTAAGCTTGAAACCCTATTTTCACCAGGGCCCTGCACCACCCCGTTGATCTTGCCCCTTGGACTTGTAGAATTCCATTCTTTGAAACATCGCCACACAACAAGATCACGCGAACGTGACTTGCACGACTCGCAGACCGCCCCTTTTGTTCGACATGAGGTCGTGGCCAATGCCATCGACATTCGAGTACGCCCTCATGGCCCTAGAACTCAGCCTTGGCTTCCGTGGTGATGTTCTTAAGCTAGAGCGCGCGCGAAGTGACGTCACACTCGCGGAGCACAGATGGGGCGGGCGCAAGCGCTTCCACGTAAACCTGCTCCCACGGTGGCTCCGAAGCCGGTCCCGACTCGGGGAATGGGCGAAACTGATCTTCGCCGAGCCGTTCCGGACCTCTCAAGGATGGACTGAAGAGGTCTGGAAAGAGGTGGTTCACCCTCTTCCGGGATGGAACCCCGGATGGATGGAGGTGAAGAGTTCGGTCCAAAGAGCTGAATCAGCTCACTGACCGGATGTTTCAAATCTAAGAGCTTTGAGATTCGAAGCAAATCGTGATGGAGAAAACGATTGTTCATGCCGACAGCTTTGTTGTGAGGGTTTAATTTGATATGTTGGGTGAGTTCTTGTCCGAAGTCTCATAGCAAGGAGAATCTGCCTGCAGGGTTGGAAAGGAGGACTTTACAGTTCCATGAATCTATGCTAGCTTCACAGGTCTTCTTTCAGGCTTTTGGATCAACTGGGCATCGCCCCTCGCAGAATCCACATAGCTCTTGTCTTAACACTGCTCGGGCCCGGATCTTGGTTTAATTTGATTCACAGTTGCCTTGCCAAAACTGTTTTGTTCAACCACTCTAGTTTTTTCCCCACTGACATCCCTCGTTCAGCAAGAACTATCCAACCAGGGCTTTCCATCCGTTCCAGTGCGGAAATCACATCATCAGCATGTCAGCGCTTCTATTCGGTGCGGATCCTTGAGAAGAAACACTTTCGGTTTTGGGGGATCGAGTACTATATATAGCAAGCGTATTAGGTTTCCCCATCGCAAATCCCCGAGTTTCTGAGGAAAATGTTCTTTATTATACTTGGATCTTCCAACTGTGCAAAATGTTTGCCTTATGCATGAGTTAAACCAACATAAGCCAACCAAGTTCGGCAGACATGTGGCCTAGTCTAGTTGGAAGATCCAGGTAAGTATTTATACCAGCACCTTCAAAGGGGTCACCAATGGAAGCCCCTACACCACTAAGGGACCTCCAGACAAAAAACCCCTGGAAGGTCCAGGTAGATGTTTCCTTCTTCCTGGGAACCCCAACTCCAAGTTCATGCGGTCGACATCCTGCATGGGGAGACGCTTCAGCCACGACAACTTCGCAGTCCGTCAGGCTCTGCTCGACGCTTTGCGGCCAAGGCACCGGTTGAAGGGGCCGGGGTTGAGGTGCACACTTCTCCTGCCTGGTCTTTTGCTTTAGGAGGATATGTGATATTCCCAGGCCACCTGGGTTTCTGGCGGGAAAGACGTGGAAAAACACACCAGTTCCTGGAATCCAAGCATCAGCAGAATTGAAAGATCCCATTGGAGGGCAGTCGTGGGCCCAGTCGTAGGCAGTAGATTTGCGCAGTCTCCGTCTGATCAGATCGACCCGAATCGCAGTCTCGCACGGAGCTGCAGGAAGACAGGCGGTCTCCGTGGCCAGAAAAGCGCTGTGTCGACGTTGGTGTTCGCTACGAATGAATCCTTTTGTCACATACCCAGACACGACTAATGGGACTGCCATAGGACTGCCGATCAGGCCAGGGGTGGTTTGGGGGGGATCAATGGGGCGGCATATATGGCAGTCCCATGGAGCGTCTGGGATAGTTTGGTTGGAATTCACTTTCTCCACTTTCGCATTCTGTTTGGACACCACTGTACGATCGCAGCAATTCGAAGACAAGCACGATCAATGCAATGACGACCTCGACGATCTTGGAATCGGACTATCCTTCATAGCGTTTCATGCGCATAGGCTCAGGCATTCACTGACATGTATTTGGTGCAGCATGTCATAAAAATGAATCACCTCGAACATCTAGGAATATCCTTCATTGCGATGGCAAAAGGCTCCAGCCGCTTGCTTTCACTTGCCCAAAAAGGTTGCAAGAACAGCTGAACATTCAGCTAGGATCGATGAAGATTCCAGTGGAGCAGATGAATGGGGATGTTACCATAGTTGAAGCAGCTCCGGAAATGACCATCGGCGAGCTCAAAAGGCAGCTCAAAGGAAAGCGGGAATGGAAAGATGAGTCTATGAAGAAGATGACCTTGGTCGAGCTAATGATCGGTGAAACCAAGCTGATTGATGATGCTGAGACAGTCATGAGAGCTGGGCTTTCTGAAGATACAGTTTTGCAAGTGTGCTTCACAGTCCGCTCAATAGAGTGCTCCAGAAAGAACGATGCTGGCTGCCTCAATGTTACCAGCAATGTCACCAGCTCCCAAGATCTTTTCATGGTAAACATTCCAGAAGGCACGACGGAAATTCAAGGGTTTGCCTTTGAAGTCTGCCGCATGATTGGGGGTGTGACCTTTCCAACCTCTCTGAACAAGATTGGACGCGAAGCCTTTCGGGGCTGCAACTCTTTGACCAGTTTGACCATTCCGAACTCTGTGACTGAGATTGGGCGTGGAGCCTTTGGTGCCTGCAGTTCTTTGACCAGTTTGACCATTCCGGACTCTGTGACCAAGATTGAAGATGGAGCCTTTTCTTACTGCAGATCTTTGACCAAATTGACCATTCCGGACTCTGTGACCCAGATTGGACGCGAAGCCTTTCGTGGCTGCAGCTCTTTGACCAGTTTGACAATTCCGGACTCAGTTACTCAACTTGGACACCGGGTTGTGTGTGGTTGCAGTTCTTTGACCAGCTTTACAATTCGAGACTCTGTGACTGAGA